TCTCCATGGAGCCTGCTCTTGACATGGTCTAGGTTTCCCACCTTCCTGCAGCACCTTCATTCCATGGACCTCCTCCCCTCCTATCCTGTCTGTACTCAGGAAAGTACCTGAAACCCGGCCAGTTGCTTCTCTGCTGTGCTCGCCCTATTGTTCATGGACTATGTTTCATCATCACCTATTTACTTTGCAGTCTCCTCCTCATTCATTTTGAAACACATGCACACAGCAAGGACTTGACATACAGCATGCACTCAATGAATACTTGCTGGTTAAATGAATGAGAGCCACTCATTAGCTAAACTAAAATTAATCGATAGCTTCCCTACCTGCTTGTGCTGCCCACCCCCCTTCCTGTATTTTACTATTAACTAGGATCAAAGTCACAAACTAAATGAGTTGAACTCTGAAAGTAATATTTCAGGCATTAGTGGAGCAAGTAGAGGCAAGGTCATAGGAGGGGGTGTGGGCAGAATGCCTCTTAAAATTTCATTATCCAGCTGTAGTGAGGAAAATGTGTGTTTGAGGGCAGAGTCATAAATTTGCAACCTGACTCTACCACTCATTGCTAAAGAAATCCTAAACAGAGTACTTACTCTCTAGCCATGATTCTTTTTCTGTAAAATAAGGCATACATATATACAAAGAGACCATACTTGTGAAGTGTGTGCACATGTGCTCCCTAGTGATGGTAGTTATTACCACTTTGCCTGTTTTTCAAAGGGACCCAGGAATATCACAGTGGCCAAAAGGTTGGAGCATGATATTGAGATCTCATTTACCACAATTATTTATTAAACACCTACTGAATGCTTACTACTATGGTCCATGGATTGTAAGTGATTTGCACTTAAATCATAGAGCTATCCTCCCTTCTGATGTTTAATTCCCTGGGCAACACTCTGATTCAGTGCTTGCCCACTCTAGGCAGAAATATTTCCAGTGACAGAAGTTCAGCAACACCCAAGGAGGCCTGAACATAATACCTTTAAGTGATTCTGACTGTTCGAAAGTTGGAGGCACCATTCCATTAGGGATACAAGACACCCTCCACAGAGACCTTACAACAGTTCCATCAGAAGATCAGAAATGAAAGCAGTGAAGTGTCTTGCAGCATATAATAAAGAATGTAAGCCTGATGCATGGCACAAAGGGAGTTCAGAGTCAAATAGGACCCTTTCGTCCTTGGAGGCAGGGTCACTGGACATCAGAAGACCATTCAGGCCAGGAGCAAAGCATGAGCAAAGCTGTGGAGCTGGGATGACACCAGGTATACTGGACAGGGACGTTAACCAAAGGTTCCTGCCAAAAGCATTCGTGTGTTGAAGTGTCTGAACCAAGCAAGGCAAGGACTCTGAGTCTCAATGTAACATCATTGACAAGACAAACACTGATTGAGCCACATCAGCGGCTATCACTCCGTGGCAAGAGCATTAAACTTGTGAACTTTTCCTCAGTAACACATCTTCTCCACGGTGGCCATCAACTTAATTCCTTTTAAAGTCCACCCCAAAACAGAAGAGTCAGAGAGAATGGAGTTATACCAGCAGTTCACATTTATAAAGCCGCATTTTCAAACTAGTTCCTAGAACACAACAGCTGAGAAATTCTAGGGGGAGAATGGCCTCAAGAGTTTCTCATGCTCTCCAACATGGGAACTCCGCCTCCTGCTTTCAACTGGACACTCTGACTAGAGTCTGTGATTAATTGATTAAGTACCTGTTGAACAGGTGTCAGACCCTGGGCAGGATGCTGGAACAAACAGCAAGTAGAGTTGGACCTAGGGATGGCTCTCAACAAGTCTACAGGCTGGCAAATGTCTATGAATCTGGGATTAGGATGGCTGTTACAGTGTAAGATATATACAGCTCGAAGGAAAGGCCTGGAAGGAACAATACTGTCAGTTACATTGCAGGAGGAGTTTATGGGCAGCAGACATAGAAGAAAAAAGTTCTACTGAAGTCAGAGAGCAACAGTATGGAAACAGCTATAGGTTACTGTTACTATGTGCAGTTATCAGTCTCTTCTCATGTGGAATCTTGAAAATCCAGCTCCAGAGCAGTTCTGATCTTTCTTCCTCTGGGTAAAATTCAAACCTATGAAAACAGATGCAAAATCAGATTGTACAGTTTCCTCTATAATATAACATACAATTTCCTTATTATGCCTACTGTTAATGGCCTCTTCCAGCTAAAATCTAAGCAGGATTTTTTTTTTCTGTTTTATTCTCTATTCCAAGGACCAAACAGCATCTGACTCATAGCTGAGTACCCAGCACACAGTGGAATGAATGGGAAGATAAGATGAGGAGGTGGCAGACTGTATAGAATGTGGCTGATTCAAATAATGATGAATTCAACCCACAAATTTCAAATCAGTTTGAAATTTCCTTAAATACCAACTATCTTTCCTCCAGTTCTCTTTATAAACACCCAAGGCCACTGCATCTGATCCATCCCAAACAGCTTGCGTTTATAAAATAAATCTATCTTTTTAAAATATTGAGTGGGCAATGATATACCTGTTTGTAGGAAAGTGCATTTGCTTTATAATTCCAAAAATAATTCATAACATTCTCTCTTTCAATTGCCACAAAAGCCATTTTGTTGACTAGGTACCAAAAAGAGCTTTTTTTGTTTGTTTGTTTTTGGAGAGAAGAAATACAGTTAAAGAATAAATTATCCATTCATTCGTTATATAATTTTATCCAACAATAATTTCCTCTAGTTCAACAAAAGCAGTCATTGGCCCAAATATTTAATAACCTAGGAGACTGTTTTATTAGTGCTTTTTCTTGCCCATAGGTTGAAATATTGCAAACATTATAAGTGGATTAGTCAGCATTCTGGCCGAGGAGGGCTTGACACACCCAGCCACTCCCAGGAACAACCAAAGGAGCTTTGTTACAGCATGCTACCATCTCCTGTCTCCCTCTCCCTCTACACACACACACACACACACACACACAAAACCTTCCCTAGACACAGAGAACCATTATCTTTCTTTAAAATGTGGAGAAACTGAATAGAAAAGGATCAAGTAGTGCTGGGGACACGGCTCCGTGGTGAAGTGCTTGCCTAGCATGTGTGGCCCTGGTTGACCCCCAACACTGCAAAATAAAAAGATAAAACATTTATCTTGAAGTTTCTGAGACAGAAAAAAAAATGTTTACAAAAGCTCAGATTTATAATACTTTCCCCTAACGACTCCATTTTGAGACTCCAACAGTTTGATAAGACAGTTTTTTTAATCTTATCAATGTCTAGAAGAATTTTATATTAAATGATAACCTAAAAAATAACTTATGAAAATTTTCTATTGACACAAATACTTATGGCCAAAAAGCAGACAATGATGAAAAATAGAGTTAAAGCAGAACCCCAGAGTTAAGCCACAGACAACCAGGTTTTCTTAAAAGTGGCACAGTTTGCTTTTAAAATGCTTAGTACCATATGAAAGGCACATCCGAGCAGGACATTTAATATCGAATCACTTAGGTTTCGTTATGGATGTAGAGAAGATCGAGGTGACAGAGTGGAAAAGGGAAATGGTCTTGGAGCTGATCCTGAGCCACACTCTGCCACTCAGTGGGGACTAGCCATCTGTAATCTGCAACTTCTCTGGGCCTCAGCATCCTCCTGTTAAAAAAGAAGAGGTGGGGGGGATGCGGACAGGTCGTCCTTACATAACTTTCAGAAGCAAAGATCCATCAGCAAAATCCTGTTTTTCCCTTACCAAAAAAGAGCTTAACTTCTCTCTAAAATGAGTGCTGTGGAATGTATTTGGATGTGACACAAAAATGAAATAAAAATTAAACATGTTAATCAGTTCATTAATGAGTGGGTTTTAATTTATTGGTAATAGAGCTATATGATCTTGTTACTTACCATTCAGTTGTCCTGACATTTGTATTGCTAAATGACTTTATAATTTCCTTTTCATGTGTAATTCTCAGAGGACAAAAGGCATAAGTATAAGAACGAAAATAACAACCTTTGCAAAGTATTCAGTAAAAATAAGAATTTCAATACAGCATGTAAGTTGATGAACTCTTCCAGGAAAATATTTGACTGTATAATAGTAATAATTTATTTATAATAATTGGCTGTATATTTTAATATCTAGCTCCTTTGACCCAATAATACACCTTTTTAGAAATCTTTCTTAAGGAAATAATTACAGATTAGGTCAGGGATTAAGACATAGAAACCTCCGTGGTAATATTTATAACAGAAGAACTGGAAACCAGCTGAATATCCATCAACAGGGAAGTAACTAAGTATATTTTCAGAGTAATGTTCACAAAACTGGTTTGTGTATGAGTAGGTTACACGGCACATGTAAACCGCAAACCCAATTTTAATTTAAAAAAAAAAAAAACAACACAATCACCTGTGGAGTAGGATTTAGGAGCCTTGGCTTCTTGCTCTGATGCACTTGAAGTTTGCTTAATTCCATATTAGAAAATGATACGGTTAGAAGATTTGAAGAAAATTTTTTAAAAATTAGCAACAGTTATTTCTGGCTGATGAGTTTAAAGATGATTTTTATTCTTTCTATAGTTTGTGATATCACCCAGATTGTCTAGTCCCCATATATCATTTCTTATGATTAAAAAGTTAGGTTTCTTTTT